ATATATAGGGGTAATGGACAAGAAAGTGGAAATTACTATAATAGATTGAGGGTATATAGGGATAATGGAAAAGAAAATGGAAACTACTGCAATCGAATCTGACTTACCCCTCCCACGCTTGTTTCAACATATCAGGTTCTACAGGGTTTGACAGGTGCCCGTGCGAGTGTGACGCCGAAGCGCCACTCAACAAACAACATGGCTCGAAATCTCATTAGACCAAAACCGCAAAATCCGAGGAGCGTCTTTGCGTGATTGAAGAATCATATACTCGTGGAATATATTGCGCAACTCATGGGAACCATATGATGCCCATTTGGAGCGTTACTCATTTGACCAGGTGCTTCGTGTCACCCCAGGGATACAACTTCCCTTCAAGGCCACCTCGCGCAGCATATTCCCACTGCGCCTTGGGCTGCACCACCAAGAGAACCGTCTCTGCCCCATGTGAGCTATGGGGGGCATATGTACATATATGTATATATATATATGTATATATACGTGTGTATATATGTGTCTATATATACGTCTATATATATGTATATATGTGTATATATATATCACCTCAATAATGGAGAATCAAATGGAAAAGAAAATGGAAAATGAAATGGAAACACTTATGGAGGGGTTCTATAAGGGTTGTATTATGAGCTAGAGTCCAAAAATCCTGGCATCCCCCTTAATAACCCCCATAGTAGTCCCCTATATAATCCCCTATAAAACCCCCTTTAAGGAGTTTAGACTATGGCTCAATAGTAACTTGAATTAAATTCCCTAAACCCTAACCCTAAACCCTAAATTCCCCAAACCCTAAACCCTAAACCCTTATTGTGTAGGAGTAGATGGGTTTCGGGGTTTGCCCCTTTCATGGCCAGGTTTGGGGTCTAAGCCTAAGCTGGAATTCTAGCCTTCCCTCTCCCCCTAGGGTTTAGGGTTTAGGGTTTAGGGAATCATACGGAGAAGAAAGTGGAAAGTTAGATGAATTTATGGTTACATTGCAGCCACATAGGGATCATCTCCCCCTGATATCAAAACCCTCTCACCTCGTCCTATCAGATGTTCCAGAAAATTTTGGCATACCACAATGAGAATGTTCAATATCAAGGGAGGGTGGGAAGGCTTTCAATAAGGCACTGTGGCGCATGGGGGTTTCCCAAAATTAGGGGTCGTTTTTTGGCTGTCTCTATTATGAGGGTTCCATTTTTTGGGGGTCTGTGTTAGGGTCCCCCTATTTGGGGGCCAAATTGACATACTGAACCTCATCACGTGCTGACCTTCTCAAGCAATCCAGGAAAGACCGATCGAGTCAGCTCACATTGCTTCCCCTTGCCCCCTGGCCTCTGTTGGCAAAGAAGCATTTCTCCATCTGCAGTAAGCCTCTGCATCGTTCCTTTGCAAGGCCATGACTGCAGAAGCAGTCAGGACTGACTGCCGTATTGAAATCAGAAATCTCTATGAAGATACCATGGCAGGCGCTTGATTCTGAATTACATCCTGGCATCCAAGAGATATGCACGACAGGGTGATTCCAGCGATCTCCATATCGGCTGTTGGCACCACTCAGGGCACTGTCCTTGCAAGGTCTAAGTCAGGCTAGAAGGTGACTCTGGCAACAGCAACTCGAAAGGTCTTAACCAAAAAGACCCTTGACCCTAAACCTAAATAGTAGTTTCCATTTTCTTTCCCATTACTCCATTACAGGTATTGTCATTGCTATTTTCATTGCTACTATTACTATCCTTGCTTCTACTGCTCGCCAGGCATCGCTACCTTCAGGCTTATGCCACGAAGCGTTCGGAACTGGCAGCCACCAAGGTACTGCATCGACTTTCCTGGATTGCTGCTAAGGAACTCAACTTGAATATCACAATGACATAATGGATATGTAGCAAATAAGAGGGTTTTCCCAATATAGTAACCTAAAGCAACCAATATAGTAACCTAAAGCAACCCAGTTTCTTGTCAATGGCTGCATTAACAGCGTCGGAAAGGTAGAGCTCTGCAACGAAGGAGTCACCCAAACGCTCGGAATCCGTCAGGTATCCTGTCTCTTGCACAAAATCCTGCCATTTCCGGTTGCTGACCTCGAACCGGTCCATCCAAAATCCAGACATCTGCACCGGCCGCACAGGCCCTTCGCCATCCTCAAGCACTCTCAATCGGCTTAGATAACACAAAAAAAGTAGTGACAATACTAATGATAGTAATAAGAGCTATCATGGAATGATGGAAAATGGAAACTACTATTTTGTGTGTTTTGTGTGTTTAGGGTTGAGGAAGAATTTTCAGCTACTCAAATCCTGCCTGTGGGAACTGGACTCTTTCCTTCCGCTCACCCATGTGAAATCGACCTGCAGGAATTTCAACCATGTCATCGTTGTGCCTGGGCAGGGCTTGTCAGTAAACATGACACTTATATAGTCCCCCTTAAGTAGATAGAATATTGAGTTTTGATCGGGATACATAGGGATAATGGAAAAGAAAATGGAAACGACTATATCATAGTAGGGTAAATCTTGAGGCTATAGTCCCCCTTAAGCAGATAGAATATGAGAGATATGAGGATCTTGTTATACTATACCCAAAGCCATATTCTATCTACTTAAGGGGGACTATAGCTCCGCCGACGCGACTCTGCCCAACCTTCTGGCCGATTCCGAGAGGCCTTCAAACCTGAACAGGGCTTCTGACTTGGCTGATTGCATGGGTCAGCTGCTCTAGAGATCCCAAGGCTGTCAAACCAGAAGGCCTCAACGACTCAGGCCTAGCACTCGATGTGGCGCCACGTGTCAGAGAGCTGCAACCGCAGTCCTACAAAGACCCATGCTGCACTGTGCATATCACAAACCTTCACGATGCATATCTCAAGCTCCTTGGCACTTTCCGCTTCTACTCCCGCATCCTAGCATGAAGCACTTTTGGAAGCTCAAGTCTGTCAGCCACTGCAAGCGATTTCAAACGATCGCCTCGAAGCCATCCAAGCTGGTCTTGGCTTGTGCGCAAGACTCCCCAGATTGGGCCAGGAGGCCTGCGACCAGTGGCAACCTTCCGCCTCTTAAGTCTCCCAGCGAATACACATGTACAAAAACGAAAGCGTGTGTACATGGGTGTCAACATAGGGGGAAGTTCCGCATGGTCCAACTCTGCTGCATGGGGGTTCCAATGCTTCAGCATGATTTCTCTGCCTGCTAACTGAACTAAACTAACCCTTTGTTTGAACTCGCGCCTCGAAAGCAAAGGGCACCAAACCACACATAGCGAGGCATGACTTGCGCTCAGAACTGCTGCAGTTGTCAATTACTTCAACACCATAATGTGCATTGTGCCGGAGCTCAGATCCAAAACGGTGTGCTCAGCTTTCCGTGCTCAATTGCAACGTACAGTGCTCCACAGTTATCATGAAGCTTGCTGATGCGCGACTGCATTTGCTATCCCGGGATTCAGGGCCCAAATGATAACTGCGAGCTAGATGGGGATGCCCCTGCAAGGCGGGTGAATGCAAGGGAAGCTGCAGAAACTCATCCAGAAACTGCCTCGATTTACAGAAAGGTGAGACAATCAACAAGCATGAGGTCCCGACTCCTGGCAAACGAGAAGCAGCAACACTTCCTGCCTGCTTCCAATCGAGTGCGCCAACTGCATCGCTCATGTCGATGCAAGCCTCCCGACCATTGATCGTGATTCATGCAGGTTGAACATGCAAGAGATGTTCTGCGAATGAGCCCCCGCCGCTAGTTCATCGAAGCCTTCAAACCCAATGCTAGTGCAAAGGCCATCACCAGTTAATGCTTTTTACGAGAATATCACAAACATCCTTCCGAAAGTTAGGACTTTCCAGCTTGTGGAAAGTCTTGAGCTCCAGAATAGTCAAGCTTGGACAAGCAAAGTGAGCCCGGCGGCCTGGAAGCAACCGAGGTCAGACATGGTGACTTGGTGAGACAATATCAAACCGAATCCCCAGAATTCCTCTCCCTTCATTCGTCCTCTGATCAATGTGGCTGAGAGCTTGGCTTGGGACCTTGCAGACCTCTTGACCCAGAATCCCTTTTCCATCTGGGCTACCCAGAATCCCTACAAACCCTAAACTCATGGGGTGCCTTCTGGAAGTCTCTGATGTCATTTGTCCAGCCGTCTTCATCAGCCTCGACGTTGGCACTCGCCAACCTGAAAGGTGCTTATTGTTAGGACAACAAATTGCAACGACCACACATGGATATGCGTGCACAGAAGATTCAAGCAGGCAACCAACGGGATGGTGAATGTAGGGCTGATTACTGGCAAGTGGTGAGCAGCGCAAGAAAATACACTAGCACGTAGGCTGGAGGGTGCTATGTAGAGGCTTGTGGGAACAAATGGAATTTAACGGTGCACGAGAAAGCTCCAGGGCAGAGTTCATGATCACTGCATCCACGAAAAAGGGGTCCATGTAAAATCTACAGCTCCGCAGCTTCTTCAATCCAAGACTCGAGGGTTCCCAAAAGAAGTCTGCAATCGAAGCAACATCCAAATTTCCAATCCAAACCCAAATGGAAGCTAGAATATTATATAGGGTTGTATTATATAACCCTGTATGATGTAGTAGTTTCCATTCTATTTTCTAATCTCCCAATACAACCTCTACGGTCTTCCTCCAGCTACTTCATCCCGGACACATGGTCTTGCACGTGGATTGTCCAGTCGTTGCACCTAAATTTGGTGCAAGTGCAGTGCCCTTTGTGGAGACAACTACAAGCGGTGAGTCCAACAACCAATGCCATCTCTGAGCGCTACCCTTCCAAAAACTTGGAAGCCTGTTGCCAGCTGGTTTGAAGCCTACTGGTCGGGAAAGCAGTGTTGTGGTGTCGCTGTAGCTGAGCCGGTGCCACACGCTGTTCGAACCCCCTTCATCAAAGTTGCCTTACTGTTGAAGCCATGATAGTTTGTTCAATGCGCGCAGTTCGCGTTGTCAGGGACAGTTGTCAGAGGCAACAGCAAGCCAAACTCCACGTGAGCTGCCTGGTCCCCACACTAGTTTCGTGTGGCAGAAACAAACTCCAGGGAGCAGGCTGCAGCAAGCTCACATGTCTAAAGCTTCCAGATGCGTACATCTGCTTTCAGACCCATGATGTTCAAAGGGTATTTCAACACCTGCACCGACAGCTGCACCATGGCTTCATACGGCAAAGCAAACTGGGGTTCCAAGTGCCCGGCTGATTCATGGGGAACGTGATTTCTGAATCAAGGGGCGACCTTGGTCTAGTGCATCTCTTCACAAGCTCATTACTACTTGCAGGCAGCGCATGCAGCAACTCATCCCTGAACCGCCACTGACTTTTTGAAGTGAGGGCAAAGGTCATGATGTAAGAAGGGCAGCAGAAGCGCGGAAATAGCTAGATGATGCAACAAAGCTCCTGGCACGTAAGCACCCTCTGCCCCAGAGCCCAATGCCTTGCGGCAAAGGGAGAGGTCCTGGCAGTAGGACGTTCAATCAAAGAACAAGGCAGTGTACCGGCAGCTGGCTTGCAAAAAAATCGAAAAATATACCAACATCAAAAATATGAGTCATCATGATAGGCCTTCGGGCCATGCCAATCAGTCCTCTCTTAGAGATCTGCGGCTCTCACCTTTCCTAACTTTCAATTTAGGTCTGGTAGCCCCTTCTGGACACAACATCTGTGATTTGTGCTTCCCGGAGCATGGCTGCGTGATTAGGTGTCCTGCAGTCCATGTGGGGCCAGACCCACAGTGCGCTGTGAGCCCCAGGTGTCCTTCCTACTTTCAGCACGGCCTGCTGCCAGTCCACCTTTGGGGCCTCTTGTTTAGCAGCCACGAACTCACCATGAACAAACCTGACCCACAACTGAAAGTCTTTCCAGTACGCGGTGGTGTTGCGTTGAAACATGCAGGATTGCAGCAGAACGATGACAACAAATCGGAAACGTATGATTGCTAACTGCTTGCCACATGCCTGCACATTCGCACCAGTCTTTTTCGGGCTCTCATGCTGGCGTTCGTAGGCGCAAGTTCCGAAGCATTGCTTTTGCTTCGTCCTGGCCAAGTACAGCAGGTGTAGCCACGGGCATGACGCTCTGGTCACTTCAGGGACGGCACAGCCATTTTTTACTCTGGGTCAGCTGGTAGCAGGTTCTGGTTGCAAGGCAGGGGTTTCAACACGTAGCACCGGGGAGCCCGGAGGCACAGGGCCTCGGCTTCCATAGATTCGTGTGGCACATGCAGAAGGTATGCTTCACAAGATATGCGGCCGCTAACGGCTGCTCCTGCCCCTCAAAATGCGGCAACGAGGTCACACAAGCTTCCTTGGTTTCCGATTTCCTCCGAAGCTACTAAGCATGATTCGCCCAGGGCCCCATTACTTAATTCGAACAATAAAGTGCTTAAGCATGCACGCCTCTTGAGAACATACATAGAAGGAGAAGCAGCGCGGTCCACCCTCGGAACGACTCGAATGATATAAACTTAGGACAATGGAACCGCTCGTCACGAGACTGTGTCCGGACTAGTGAGACTCATTCTAGTCATGGCTGTTGCCATGACGATTTGGGCTCTTGAAGATACCGCACCTGGCAGGCTTCTAGCCTTTCGATTCCTGGTGCTGTCCCAGCCTCTCTACCACCTTCTGCCTTCAATCCTTTTGTCGCTCTCTGCTTGCTTCCTTCCTCGGTCAAGAAAACCTTGGAAAAACCTTCGCGTAGTGATCCTGACTTACGTTCTCGAAAATGGCCTCTTACACCTGCGCCTTGACAACAGCAATCGAGGGGGTTCCCAAACGAGGAGTACCATTTTGGGGGTCCCCATAATAAGGATTATAGTTTTGGGGATCTATATTGGGGTCCCCCTTTTTGGGAAACTACCAATAACCTATAAACCCTTACATGAACCCAGCTTCCATTTCATTGTCCATTATCTTTTCCATTTGATTCTCCATTATCGGGTATATATCCCCAAACCCTAAAACCTATATCCTAAACCCTAAACCCTAAATCCTAAATCCTAAACCCTAAACCCTAAACCCCTATTATTGGATCCCCTTTTTTGCTGAAACTACCACTCCCAGCTCCCTTCCCAGCCTTCTCGGAGCCGGCGGTGTCCAGGAGCTGAGTTGCACAAGCCTCTGCCTCGACTAAGCGGCCCTCCTGGTTACAACAAAGCACACAAAGGTCTTGTAGTCCCCCCCTTAAGTAGGTAGAATATAGGTTTAGGGCTGAGGGTTTGAGGGCTTAGGATTTAGGGTTTAGGGTTTAGGGCTTAGGGTTGAGGGTTTAGGGTTTAGGGTTTAGGGTTTAGGGTTTAAGTCTCCCTCAAGTATATAGAATATGGGTATATAGGGTTTAGGGCTTAGGGCTTAGGGCCTATAGTCCTCCTTAAGTAGATAGAATATTGGGCTTCATAGGGGTTATATAGGGATAATGGAAAAGAAAATGGAAACTGCTATACTATAGTAGGGTATATATTGGGGTTTTATAGCCCCCTTTAAGCAAATAGAATATGAGATATATGTGGATCGCATAATAATAAACCCAAAGCCATATTCTATCTACTGAAGGGGGACTATAAGATGACAGAATTTCCTGGAGCAAGGCTTGGGGACATGAGTGTTCGAACTTTGCTGTACCGGTCCTCTGCGAGGAAGTTCATGAGAAACCGCAAAGCTTCCTTGTCATGGCGAGGCGTAGAAACGTAAACTGCTCAAGGGCTACTTGGAGGGTCGGGGGGCATAGTAAGTAGGTTAATAATGGGGGTTACTATGGGGTATAGGGGTTGGTAATCTACTTACTAAGTCCCCCCGACCCTCCGAGGAGAACACCATGCCCTTCATGTCATGGCTTACCGAGGTAAGGGACAGTTTTCCCTATATACAATCTCCTGAACTGGGAACCCCCATTATAGTAGTTTCCAGTTTTTGCATTATCCCCTATATATCCAAATATATCCCCTATATCTCCCCTATGTTCTCTGGCTCAAGCATCCCGATCCCACATGCACAGTGCGTAATACGGAGAACATTTCCGACTGATACACACATGCTGAATCCAGGGAATGTTCAACTGAAAGGGCTTTCGCCATGTAGACCAAGGCGTAGTACACGCATACGTGGCAGAGAGCAACTCTGTAGATTTAGCAGCTGGGCCCCTGCCTCATGCCAACTCCTCGATCGGAGGCCAGCTGAGACAATACAGCATTGACGTTGTGTAAGTTTGTCGGAAGCAAGGGAGGCAACTCTTCCTGGAAAAATGACACCAAGAGAATCTAGGCTGAGCATCCACAATGGAGTAAACAACACGCTTTCGAAGGACATGTAAACACATAGCTGTCCCCCTGTCCACACAATCTGGAATATGCAACTTCATGAGTTTACCCCATATCAGATTCTGTATTACTTTGAGACTGCTTTCAGTTGACTGATTGGCATCAAGTAACGGCAAGTCCCCAAACAGTAGGAGTATCCCTGTATAACCTCTATATCCTTACATTCCTGCCAGGCCACCACACTTTCGCTGGGCAGGCCACCCAATGGTCGCAGTGGTGCTGAAATGGCCCGGGCAGCAGGTTCGGCCGGCTGGCCTGCAAGGAATGAGACCATAATTTGGATACTACCCCCACCCAGTAACAGTCTATATTAGGGGTTCTATTAAGGGCTATATATAACCATATTAACATTATTATCCAACTGTTACTGAGTGGGGGCAGCATCCAAACCATAATCTCTAAATTGAAGGGTGCATTCAGGGGTTCTATAGGGATTGTAGAGGGATTATTTAGGGACAATGCAAACGAAAATGGAAGCTACTGTTGAGGGTTTAGGGTTCAGGGTGTATGTATTGGGCGAGGGTCCCCAAAATCACGGGTGTCATAATTACAACCATCACCGTGTTAATTTGATTTTGCAGCTGATGTAGACCCCTCTCCCCTCAATGGGAATTAGAACAGGGATCCTAATATCAGGGCCTTTAAAAGGAGGGGATTTGTTAATCATGGATCTACATTACCCGAAACTCGAAACCCTAAACCCTTTTTTGCTGCTGGACTTGTTCCTAAACCCTAAACCCTAAATGGTAGTTTCCATGTTCTGTTCCGTTATCCCTATATAGTCCCTATTTTGGGTCTACATCAGGCAAACCCATCCTGCAGCCACATTGGCAACGCGGGCATGCCCACTTTGCTCCAGCATTTGGCTGTAGTAAGCAGCTGCCTGCCTGCCAGCTTAGGGTTTAGGGTTTAGGGCTTAGGGGTTTAGGGCTTAGGGGTTTAGGGCTTAGGGGCTTGGGGGTTTAGGGGTTGTAGCTACGCTCTTGTTCCCCTTTGGTAGCTAGAATATGGTGTGTATCGGGATCTCATTCTGATACTGAACAGTTCCATATTTTATCTACAGGGAGCTTACACTCCTTCCACAACTCCTACTTGCCAGGTCCCACGGCTGCCATGAGTTTGAAGCACGGACGCTTACGCACGCGTCGGAAGATTGCCAAAAACTCATCCATCTTCGCAACCCTGTTGAACAAGACTCTCGCTGCGACTTGCCACACATGGCGGTTCTGAAAAAGTTGAAACTTGCCCTGAAGGCATAGCTAGCGCCCAGCTGCTTGCACAACAAAGTTGTTGCGCCCGCTGTCTTCCAAGTCTTCCGCAACTTGGGCACAGAAGCACCCTTTGGAGTTCCTCATCGCTCTATAACAGCAGCGCCCACATCTGGGAAATGTGCGACACCTGCGATCCCCATGGTCACGGTGGAGGCGTGCGAGGCGTGGCAAGGCCATGCGCTCGCGGTCTCCGCAGCGGTGGGCCTGAGCTGTCTGCCGCCACGTCTCAAACTTCCAATCAAGGCCAGGCCTTCTCGTAGCACTTCAGTGCCTGGGACAGGGGAGGGGAGGGACCAGCTCAGCTGACACCAGCTACAGGTGCGCATAGTCACGCCTCTGCCTTTCTGTCCATGTGGTCGTAACCTCGTCATTTGCACACAGGTGGGTCAATCTGAGAAAACCAGAGCAGATGCAACCCTTGAACAGGTCTGAGGAGCACTGGGCCATGGCGCACCACATGCGGGCATCATCTGGCCGCAGGGACATGGCCCGACCTTGGAGGAGCAACAAGTCAGACTTCTATCAACAGCTCCGTTCTCATGGCGCACGCACAAAGTCAGACCTACTTATGGCGGGACAGGACACGATAGTAAAAGAGGGCATAGAAGTGGAGACCTTGGTTACCAGCGTCACGATGTAGCAAGACTGCTTTCACATCTGAAAGGGAGATTGCTATCTCAGCAAAAGCCCAGCGGCTCAACAGCTCATAGGTTTGTCCCAACCCATACCTGGGCTGCAAGGGACACGTTGTACAGTAAAGGCTGAGGGGCGCGCTGACCTGGTAGCAATCAATTCTGCAGCGAGATGCCAAGCTCTGTAGTCTCGCCGATTAATAGTCACCGCAGTGCGGTAAGCATCAATGGCCTCAGGGGGCACATGGCACGGGTTCCAAAAAGCATGGTTCTCTTTTTAGGGGCGTCCCTCTACAGAAAGCCTGACAATATGTATAGGGTGTACAAAGGGAACTTTATTTTTTTGAAGAGCCAGCAATATGTCTCTACAAGGGGTTTGCCAGGTGACAGCTGCAACGGCAATTCGGAATGAATGGATGCAGACATGCTCGCCCTGAATTCTTGCTTCGCATTCGCCGCTAAGCTTCAGGTTGAAACTGGCGTGAGGCGCGTACATAAAAAGTGCAAGCAAAATCCCATCGAGAATTCCCTGCAGCTGAGTACTGTTGGCAGCTGATTAGATGTAAAAAGAAGCCATCTCACGCAAATGAGCTGAGCTGCTGCTGCAGTGTTCTTCATCTCCATGAACTCATGACCCATCCTGAAGCTCTGCGGAAAGTGGTATGAGCTTGCCTCTTCCTTTGCCTCACAGCAGCTTTGTATAACTTGGTGCTGAAGATTTCTGCAGTTCAGGGGCAGGATCCACGCTGGAGTGAAGTGGCGATTGAGAGCAAGAGCACGTCGAAAGTAGACGACTGCCTGCATGACAAGTCAGTCACCACTACTTCCCTGCAATTGCCGTCGAATGCTGTCAAGATGATGCCAGCAGCCACCCCCTTGAGCTGATAGTCCTCCTGAAGTGTCTTATGCATGTGACAGGACGCCGCCTTCTCGTGCTCACCTTTGAGGCTGTAGTAGTTTCCTATGATGATGCAAGCCTCTGGCGTGTACTTGTCGATCCTTGTTCTGGCAAAGCAGTGCCCAGTGACAAGTAACTGTGCGTGCTGGTGACTTGTCCACAAAGCCGAGAGGCTTGACAGCCTGGCGAGCGAGGTGGCTCAGCGCTGCAGCTTGCTCCTGGTGTAGCTGCCACAACTACATCTACACTATATATATATATACGTAATTTTTGTACCAAAGGCTTCTGCTCAGAAGGTGTCCTTCACGAAGAGAATATTCGAGAACGTGTCTAGGGACCTGGCAGACGCGTGTGCTGGGGTGAAATCATTGTTGCGTACTCCCGAATCCCAGACCAAGACTTAAGACTCTTTAGATGCTGACACGTACTCTCCCTCGTCAGGCAAGCAGCGAGAGTCGGTAGGGGTCTCTTCGGCGGAGCTCTTCGAAAGCTGCTTGTGAGGCATCAAAGTTCCTGCAGCACGCCAAGTGACTTCAAGGTTGTGCACCAAAGTTGAAAGTCCCAAGTTCCCCCTTGGCGACTATAGGTCTGCCAGTGGCTCGACGTCCTCAAGTTGTAGAAGCACGTCGCAATCTGGGACGCAATGTAGGGAGACTCCGGAAAGGACGCCCGAAGCATGACATACAGATCCCTCGCACTCTCATTCCGCTGAAGCTCCTTAGGTTCTGAACAAGCTTCACCTCCGAAAAGATTCAGTGCAGATTCGCGTCAAGCACAAGGCCCCCGTCAGACATGTGCGAAGAATATACGACGAGTTTCCATATGCAATGCAGCCTCGAAGAATGAGGACATCCAATGCGCTGGCAGCCTGGCAGCGCCGACTGCTAAGCATGCGAATCTCAAAGGCATCCAGCGTAAGAGGCATAACAGCAAGGATGCATGTCTTACTGGCCGGTAGGGAATGGTGGAATTAATCCCGATAGTAGTATATTGACGTAAGTTTCCATGTTGCTTTCCATTCTTTCGTTCCCTACTACAGTGACCACCTATATAGTATAGTAGTTTCCAAAATATTTTCCATTATCACAATATAGCCCCCATATAACCCTAATGTAAGAAGACACTGGAATAGGCCTTACACCCTCGCAGCCCTCGTTGTCGATGTCGTCCAAGTCTGCAGAGATGCCTCTGGATGTTGCCATCTCACACACGCTTAGATGATTTCTATTAGGGTTATATTGGGGTTACATTGTTATACTGGAAAATAAAATGGAAACTACTATGTTACATAGTTTGGGGGTTGCCAAGAATCAGCATCTGCATTTGGAAGGCTCTAGAAGGACCATAATCTGCAAGCGAATTTGCTGGAAAGACCCACGCGGTCACACCGTGAGGCCTATACCCAGCGAGGTCTACTAAGTATTAGAGTCGATCCAAGGCATGCTGAGCAATTCTCAGCCAGACGGAGAAACATTTCAGTCAGCTTGGCCTCAACACTGTGCGAGCATGTAGAAAAGCCTACATATCGAAGTCAAGAAGCTGATGATGTCCAGCCACGCTGACCAATTGCATGGAAAGGCATGAACGGATTCCAGCAGAACCTCATGAGCAACTTTGACTCTCCTGACGGACATTGAGAAACGCACAGCAGCGTAGATCTCAAAGTCAGCTTCGGAGCCCGTCTGGCATCTTCCTTCAGCTCCTTGGGTTCAAGAGCACAAGAGCCTGCCAGCCCACCCTGTCAAGAAGCACTGCTCACTTCTGGTTTCGTGCGCTTGCAGCCCAGACGCCAAGCCTTTCAACACGATGCCATACACGTAGAGACCTTTGCCGCAGGCTCTCTCGGTCTTTCTCGCTAGCTCTCTCTATCCACGGCCTGCTAAATCAATTCCTACAGCCACTTCCTGCAGCTGTTGAACAGACTCCAATCCAGCCACGCAGCCTAAACCATCCAGCTTCCGCTCTTGGTAGAACGCAGACAGATCTTCTTCCAACGCTTTCCTTAGCTGATGCGCAAATGATGTGGATGAGGTCAAAGAACATGCTAGACGGTGCCAAGTAACAGCTCCGTGTTGCACACACGACTCGATTCTGCAGGATCTGAAACCTGTCACTACAAGAAAGAGCATGCCCGCAGCATCATTTGGGGGAGACATATCGTCTCTGGCCCAACAAGTATACTCAGGAGTTGCCTTGGGAAAATCCTCTAGCCTCGTTCACTTCCAGTCAAGAAACTCGACCAGGATTGTCATTTCGAAGGTGCTGTTTAGTTCGCTTCACTTCAGGAATTTGTAATCTTACAATTTCCCATGAATGGCGGAGGGGTGAGCTTGCCGTTGGCACCAGTCTTGGCCTGCCTCGTTTTCTGTGCAGCTACCTCTGAGGTGACAACTGAACTGCGTGTCATATTCCTGCAGCCGAAAACTGCTTCCTAGCTTCAAGAAGGACTGCGACTGCAACTACTGGCTACACAAGTATGTACTGAACTTGATTTGTTGATTTCAGCAGCTAGCCGGAAAAAGCCTATGCCGTGCCTCTGCTGCATCTTCTTCTCGACGCTTCTCTCCCGCTAAGTACAAGGCATATGACCTCACGTACGCTCTCCTGCGGACACTCTGGACCCCTAGTCCTTTCGAATAGAACGTGTAGCAACGTCCCAGTCCAAGCTGCTTAAAGAACAATGCCCAAGGTTCGGAGTAAAGCCCTTTGCCGGGCGAAGGACCTGGGCACCACAATGAGACCTCCTGTTGCACTCCACGCAACTCTACGCGACTCACGTAGGACCAGCCTCCTTGTAGCGCGTGCGCCGCGCGCGAGTACTCGCGCATGCCAAGGTGGGCCTGGTCTCACATGGTCTCACGGGAATTCCGATATAGCCCCAATATATACCTTATTATAATCTAGTACTTTGCATTTTCTTTTCCATTATCCCAATATAAACCCTATATAACCCCAATATTACCCCCTTAAAGGGCCCCCTATTTTACTACAGTAGTTTCCATTTTCTTTTCCATTATCCCCATACAACCCCAATACATACTCCTATATAACCCCCATAATCCCAGTAGTTTCCATTTTCTTTTCCATTATCCCAATATGAATAGCAACCCCAATAGTATACCCTAATATTCTGTAGCAAACGGCAAGCCCAGCACAGTGAAAGGCCTTGGCGAGCAGCACCGCGCCGCTGGTGCTCTGTAGGGGTCCTGACACATATAGGCTTATATGGGGTAATATAGGGTTATACGGGGTAATATAGGGTTAAATGGGGTAATATAGGGTTAAAGGGATATATGTAGGGGTCCTGAAGTTGCTGAAGGCACCGGGACGGAAGGCTCGCCTGGCAAGTGGCAAGTGGCGCTCGCATCCTCTGTGCAGATGCAGCAGCAAGTCCATCCTGGAGGAAGCGAGGCAAGGAGCTCAGAGGCCCACCTGCATTCCAGCCCAAGTAGCGTCATGGCTACTGCCAAAATCTCGCTCCACCACGACGTGCAGCCGAGTTGCTGCGTGCTGCTGTGGAGCTCTGCGAAGCTGAGACGCTGCACAGCCTCGCAAGATCGTGTTTGCATTCCACTTGACCGGCCACTCTACGCTTAGCACTTGTTTATGTTTTCGGGGAGATGCGCCTCGTGCAGCTCGGCGCGAAGCTGTGCTGCGCTGGGAAGCGGCCGAGGCTTGGAGCCCTCGGGCTCTTTTGGCTCCATGGCCACGTCCATGGGATTCTCGCCGAAGCAGGGACATCGGCGATGTCCGCTAATGCATCAGAATTTGTGGCAAAGCTGTCACTTGAAGTCGCTTGTTTGGTCTGAGAAGTTTGTGGCCATCGCCTCTCCGCGGGCACACACGTCTTGCAAGAGTTTAGGAATCAGTCTAGCACCCCAGGGCTGTCATGCTGCATGTGAGCGTTGCCATGTGGACTGGACTGACAAGGTGAGGGGAGCTGATTTCTGTCTCATGCCAAAACATGTTTTGCCCTGCTGCCAAGCCAGCACCACAATGCCAGAAGTGGCTCTAGACTCTAGACCAGGTATGATGAGCACAATGGATGCCCTGCACAAGAGCTGCTTGCTCAGCGTCCTCCTTCTTGATCGCCGGGAGAAGCTCGAAATAGAACCAATCGACGCCTCTTAGACAAGCTGGAGGAGCTGGACCATTTGAAATGACTTTCTGTCCCCATTTTGCCTCCTTGGATCTTTGGAGCAGCCCTCTCCAGGTCCTGTAGCTTCAGAAACAGACCATGCATAGCTTTGTTCCTGCAAATGAAAGGACCGCACTGCCCACCTTGATCACAGGGGGTGGGAGCGGATTGTCAACTTCAGCATGGGCCAGCCTGCATGCTTAAACTTGATATTCAAAAGGCTGGCATCTGCAGCTTGTCACACTTTTCACGAACACGTCAGGAGAACAGCGATCATTTCAGAGCACGCGCCCTGGTATCAGAAGAGCCGCTGTCACCAAGCTGCGACGTCCAACCTTCCAAAAACATCTGGGTGGTTGTCAAAATTATGGTCCCTTGTTGGATCCCCATTATAATACGGCACCTAATATTTAGGATACCCAAAAAGGGGCCATAATTTTGACAACCACCCATCTATGCCCTTGACTCATGCTGCCAGAAGCAGCAGCTATGGCCTCCTGTCGGGAAGGAACGGACCTTGCTTACCGCAAGCACGCGAAGCACAATCAAAGCTTGTCAAGTGCCACCCAGGGACAAGAAGCTCCTGCCCAAGTCTTGCGCCTAAGATCTAGCATCTTCGAGCTTATCAACTAATAGGGATATATTGGGACAATGGAAAAGAAAATGGAAACTACTATCATACATTGGGGTAATATTAGGCTTATAGTAGGGTTTTATTGGGATAATGGAAAATAAAATGGAAACTACTATTAAGTGAGTGACACAAACGGATGATCCAAGTGGAATCCTAGTGATTTTAGCGATTTCTGTTGATGGCGGCAGCAGGGTCAAGGCAGTGGCCAACAACAAAATGAAATAGCACGGCAGATATAACACAGGAGCAAAACAGCACGGGGATTGGGGGGGGACCTTCTGTTGAAGAAGAATCTTAACGGAGTAAGCCAAGCCATTCAAATAGTAAGCATAATGTCAACAAGTTCGCAGAAATGTGCATTGGCTCTATTCGCTGCGAAAACAGGGGTATAACAAAAGCAACTGCCAGGAGACCAAGACAGTCACGGCTACAGTCACTAGAAGTGATGTCAGTAGAAAGGTTCACAATGGAAGAACAACCATCGGGAGCACATCCATCCAATTTATATTTCTGTTGCTTTACGCAATGAATGCACGGACATCATTAGACTATTCATGCGAACAGGGCCAGATGCAAGAATAGCATTGTGTAGACTAAATAAACATCCAAAAAAGTTGGAACAGGCAGCACACGCGCGCTCTACAAGATGGTTGAGGGAGGTAGGCATCCCAATTTGCAGCTCTTGTGAGCGTTCTAGCTGCACAGCAAGACAGAAACAGTATGTTCTGGGTTGAGGGGGTGCAGCCAGCTCCTTCGATTTGTTCATTGCTTCTCGTTTGCCTAGCTTGTCTTTTCCTCTGCGTTTCTTCCTTCCCCCGCAAGCAATGACGATGAAAACAACCTCCCACATGCCAAACCAAGGGTAGCTGACATGAGCGTTGGAACCATGCTGGCCACACTTCATTTTCAGCGCTTGCAAAAGACCATTCCGTGTAGACTGCTACGCCATGCATGCAGCATGCATCACTCCATGGGCAATCTTGCTTGAGAAAACCCTGGTTTAGATTCCTTCGCAGCTTAACATTCAACTCAACAACAACAGCAGCAGCAGCAGCAGCCGGAGTTTGTGACCGCATGGCCATGAGCAGTGCGCAAGGCTTCATTGATGCCCCAGTGGCAGCAGTCGCGATTGCCACGCCCAACGCTAGGGCACCTGAAAACAGCCAGTAGGGCAGGCAAATTATTGGAGTTTCCTTCCAGATCCAACACGGGTAGAGCAGCGCCTGCTGCGCAAGCTGTAGCGAGCCTCAGAGATCTGTATGCAATCACAACAGGCTCGACTGCAGTGAGTTCAGTTTTACCATTTGGGAGGAGCTTCAAATCAGCCACAGCAAGGACACATGTTTCGTGTGAGAGGCCTTCGAACACATGGTTCAAGCGTTCATTTTTGGGAGGAGGGGCACAAACCTGGCATGAGAGTACACATCAGTCTGCACGTCAAACATTTGCAGGAGCTAGCTAGTTTTTGAGTTCAACGCCTCGTTACTATGGAGATGATGCCTCGGCCCTACGGATAAGAGCACAGATTGCAAACTCTTTGAAACCAGACGAAGCAAGGTTGAGGGCGTTTGCCCATCCTAAACACCGTTCAGGTCGTCGGGCTCCTTTGCTCATGCTGTACAGCAAACTCCCGAGGATGGGTTGGCTCTGGAACTAGCAGGCCACAAACACGCCCTTGAGCAGCTCAATGGGCGGCATGGCATGGCCATCTAGTAGGGTGCAGCAGCTCCATCTCGCGTGCAGTCGGCGCTGAGCTTTGCTGACTTTAGCTTCACATGATGGATTCACGTAGTTTCCAAGGTGCGCAGCACTTGCGCAGCGCAATGCCAATGTTAACTCACGTTTCTACGCAACAATACAGAACATCTTGGACAACATGACGTCAAGCCAACATGAGCACTTCAGCAAGCAGACCCCGGTACATTCTGGTCTCAGCCAGACTTGGACAGAAACGAATGGGCTTCAGCTGATGCTGATAGTTTGGGAGATGACACTGCGTAAGAAATGTAACATTGTTGGATCAGCACCAGATAGCACCAGCGCAGAGGATCTGCTTGCTGCGGAATGCAGACAGCTCTGGATTGACACCAGTCGCGCAGCCAGACATGCCACGCGTTTCTGCTTGCGGCAGGCCTGCGGAAGTCCGAACCCATGCAACATCCTCGCATGTTCTGATGCAGAACCTGGCATGTAACTGGCTACTTCTTGGGGAAACACGAGGTTTCGGAAATCGTTCCACAAGTCAAGCCGCTCTATCAAGTCCTACTTGTCCTTGCTGTTTGACGGCAAGGAAAAACGTTCACACAAGCTTCAGCTGCAGGTGGCGCTTCAGATCTGATCTTCAGAGCTATAACCCACCAAGCTTCGAAAAGCGTTCAGGCCCAGGACGTTACCTCTGCGAGCTTATGGCTGAACAGCCGAGACCCAGTACTTGTAATAGCAATGGCAATAGCAATAGTAAAGCATGTTGTCAATTTTGGCATGTGTCTCAACACTCAATGGACTTTCCCCTCATACTTGCATCCGGAACTTTCGTTGCCGTGAGGCTCACGGCCGACTTGAGAAGTGTCTTCAACAGAAGTACCTCAGTGACTCCGGGCATGGGCCCACCGCAACCTTTACAATGCTGAGCCAAGTGAATGGACACCAAGATGCGATAAGAAATTCAGGCCCAACAGGTCCCACCTCAGTGGGTCTTACAGCGTTGCGACGACTTCCACGCAGCTCTCCAGATCATGTAAACGAGAAATCACTTTTCACCAAATGGTAGTTTCCCAAAATAGGGAACCCCAATGTAGACCCCAATTTACTACAATCCCTATTATTGGGGCCCCAAGAAAGTACCCCTAATTTGGGAAACCCCCAAATTGGCCTCTTCAGAGAAATCCTCGTACCTCAAATCAGCCGCAGCGATGTTGGCCTCCGAGGCCGGAGGCTGATGGTGCAAGACATTTTCATGCATGCTGTAGGGTTTAGGGTTTAGGGATGAATTCCTGGGTAGATACGGGGGCTTCCCAAAAATTAGGGGTGTCGTTTTTGGGGTCCCCATAAGAAGGATTGTAACATTTTGGGATCTACATTGGGGTCCCCCAATTTNNCCCCCCCCCCCCCCCGCCATCGCCGCCATGAGCCCTTGCAGCCGCACAGCAATGTCCTTGGAAGGGCAGCGCAGACTTTCTGCAAAGCAAGGACAAATTCCAGGACAGTGTCTAGGCAGAATGACAAAAATGGATGACGTGCAGACTTGATGTGCTGCAATTGGCCTCAACGATAACGCGCCGGAAGGTCAGTTGGGGTGGCTGATTCCTTAGATCGGCACCACCAGCCTTTACTTACTAGTGTCATTATGCCGAGTTAAAATTGTTATACACGGGCTATGAGAAGAATCCACTTCACCACTCAACCTCAAACACCATGAAGCTTAACGCATCAGGCTTTCCAATTTTGACTTTGTAGATCCTCTCACACTGGACTTCTTGTAGATAAGTGGCCCGGGCATTATGCAGCAACTGATTGTAAATTCTATACGAACACTATCAGCAGGATGTGCGCTCATTCCATTATCCCTATATAACCC